GATGTGACTGCTGTCAGATCCTCATCGCCGCCGTCGCTGCAGCAGCCGCAGCCGCAGCCGCAGCCGCAGCCGCAGCCACAGCAGAGTGAGCCCTGCGAGATGGCCCTAGAGGATCTCCCTGCGCCGCCAGACCTGCCGTCGCTGCCGCCAGACTTTCGACGCCGCACCATCCACACAGCTGGACTGCCGCCGCCGCCAGAGCTGCCTTCGGTCCTCAGACGTGAACCGATTCGCACCGCAGGCCTGCCGCCGCCGCCTGACCTGCCATCGGCGTACCATAGCTTGAGCTCAACCGAAAGCGATACCATGTAGCGCGACTCCAGGGGCTACCGCCCAAGCAAGTGGCGTAATTGCGCCGAGCAAAATTTGGCCGAGGGCTCTGAACACACCCATGGTCTTCCACTCTGTCGCCTGATCTACTCGTTCTACACACGTGCCAACCACACCAATTCGTAGGCACAGTATACACCGTGGGCTATATTGCTTTGTGAAGCCGAATCTGGTAAGACCCTCTGCTCCAGGCCGCCCGCACAAGTAAACGTCTCAGGGGACTCGATCTATCGATCTGTTTTCCGCCGATTCTCAACACCAACGAGATACAAGCCAACATCCAGCTCCCGACAACGAGCGGCTCAAACATGGAGCGAGGCTTGGGTGTTTCAGAAGAGCATGCCACAACGGTAGTTCCTTCTGAACAGGGACATCGTCGACGTAGATGGCGTACTTGCCAGAGTAGGGCCTGATGCCGCGGACAAAGTAGACGCAGTCGATGACAGAGTCGGCGTCAGCGGCAACAGCAATGGCATCAATGCGAGCATCAAAGATCCAGCTGCACTCTGGCGCATCAGGAGGGAACCAGTGGACCGCGGCAGAGACGCTCACACGGTTTGAATGGGCGATGCCGAGTGAAAGAAAGCAGGCTGCAGCACACGATGGCAAGTCGACGACGCAGCCAGGATCGGCGGCGGCAGCAGCGTGCCAGGACTGAGGGACACTCGACGAACATCTCGCTAGAGGCTGAGCCCGGCATGAGATCGACGACATTCCGACAGGCAGGTGCGTGACTCCACCGTGCATTGCGGTCATCTTTCATTGCGTCAGGCCAACAACACGCTCTCTACCCATACGCGCCCTTATCGGAGTCGCCTCCTACCTCTTAGCGCCTCACGCACCATATAACTGGGCACCATGTTGTACATGATCATCCAATCATGCACGCGCTTGCTCTTCCTATGCATGCTCGCTTTCTCGTAGATCGTAATCATGACCATGCAGACGTACTGATCGGCGTCGATGCCATACTTGGCCATATTGTCCAAAATAGCCTCGGCAGTCTCGATATCATTCTGCTCCTTGCATCGCTCCAGGTCCTTGCTGTATGCCCCGATGTCGAGCTTTGTGTGCCTGCCGGCCCAATCGGCCTCGAACCCATTCCGACACATGTCCTCATCACGGCCGCAGGCAATCTCCTCAGCACACTGCGGACAGTTCTTGGGCCAGGTGAAAGAGTCATCAAAGAGAAATCCGATGTCTGCATGCTGCCTATCGCACGGCTGGTCGAAGAGCGTACCCGGGGCAGAGGCAACCGAGGCGATGGCCTGCACAAGCCCCCGGATGCCACCACCGCCAGCAAGGGCTGCGTCGATGCGCAACGTCTTTCGATCTGATCCTCGAGTGACGTCACGGCAGTATTGAGCTTGATCTTGAGAAACTCAGTGATCTGCTTCAGCAGCTGGCCGGTGTTGCAGAAGGCAGTGTAATCGGCTGCTGCCTTCTTCTCGCACGCGGCCCTCGTGTTGAGCATCAAAAACAGCTCCGTCTCACTCCCTTGACACAGATTGTACAACAACTTGCCCCAACTTTTCTGTTGCTCGAATGCCCGAAGTAGCCCATTGTTGGTGGTCCATTCCTTAGCGTTGACCTCCTTCGCTTTGTACGCCGCCTTCATCATGGCGTAAACACGCCGGTCATGTCGCTTGTCAAGGATATCCTCGCCGAGTAGCTCACCCACAACATCCACCATGTCCAGCACTTCAAAACCGCTGATCTGCTCGTTGACCTCCTTGAGCAGGATCCGCCTCTCTCGATCCAGGTTTCCAAAGGCGTAGGCGAGCGGAGAGACGAGGCCAAAGCCAGCGTCGCGCAGTGCTTGCGTGAGTCGCGTCGCATCGCAGCTCATGATCTTGGGCTGGTGGCCGTTGGAGAACTGCAGCTCCGGAAGTGGCGTAAAGTACCCGGGGTTGAAGGTGCGATGCATCGACTCGTTAGCCTTTTTGAGACCGAGAAACATGCCCAAGGCCGCCGCATTCTCGTCGTCGGCGGCGATGGCGGCGAGCCGCTCGGCGTCACCTGCGATCATCTGATCCAGCGGCAACCCGCGGAGCTTGCTCACATAGAGCTTCACAGAGGCTTGCAGCGGCATGGGAATATCCGAGGAGAAGCCCCCTTCGCCGTTGTCGTTCATGTGGGAGATGTTGTTGCGAACTTCGCGCAGCGAATCCTTCACATTCTTCGCACAGTGTGTTGTGCCTGACCTTGCGCGAGCATCCAACTCGTCGATCCACGAAGCAAACACCACCACCCGCTTCTGACGGGTCACACCATCGATGCTGTCGTCCTTCACCCAGTTCAGGATGGTATCAAGCTCATTTGCTGCCTGTTCTCTTGCCTGTGAGTCTCGTCACCCGCTGCAAATACCGACCTGCTGCTGGATCCGCGACATCTCCATGCCGCTGCTCGTCCATCATGCTGTCGTGACTGGCCGTCATCACCGCCGTTGACCGACCATGCTCCACCACCCCACCACCGAGGCAGCGCGCGAGTCCGCCCGCTATACATCCTCCAAACACATCGGTCCACTATTGCACCCCCTCTCTCTCTCTCTCTACATACCATGACGAATGTCAAGTCAAGTGGTCCTCATACCCCCCTCCGCGTCGGCACTGTGGTGCGCGGGTGGGTGGCTCGGTGTCCGGCCTGAATCGTAAATGGAGTTTTTTTTGCGACATCTGCCCTCAGTCGTCAGCACAACGGTGCTACCGAGATCTGCCACAACTCGGCTTGCGGCGCTCCTCCTCGCGCTTGCCCCCCCCCCCCCCTCCCTAATCCAGTGGACCTGCGTCCGCGCCCCCATCAACACCGCCCACTCTCTGCGTCTTTCGCCTGCCACCTCACCCGGGTCATGATCCACAGCTCGCCTGCGACATCGAGCTTGTCCTCGACACGCCGGCCATACTCACTCAACCGCCACGCTCATCGTCCTCACCCACCTGCTCGTCGCCTCCATCGCCACGTCCCCAGTGATCCGAGGACGAGAAGCACCGGTACCAGCAACCAATACCTCATGTCATATATGGAGACGCACACAAGCTAGGGCACTTGAGCATGCATATGGTGAAGATCATCCCAGATCTGGTCCTGAGCTCGGAGTAGCCAAGGCATGAATCGGTCTCGCGCGGGCTCCATCTCCCCACATACGCCCAGTAGCAATGAATCGGGTTGGAGTTTGGTGGCGGCGGCCAATCATCACGGCCTTCTATTTCCGTGCCGGAGAACCACCGCAGCTGGCGCAGCCGCAGCCGCAGCCGCAGCACACGTGACTCTCTCATCTCACGAGCTGCCCACGAGACCAAGAGCTATTATGCTGGACAAGCTTTCCACCGAGCTCATTCACCGCATTGCATACCATCCTACCTCGCCGCTACCTCTGCCTGACGTCCTCGCTCTCGCCTCGTCGTGCAAGCGGCTCAACGCGGCGCTGCTCGGCTCGCCGCATGCGCGGGCTCTCGCATATGCGTCACTTGGATTGGACGAGTGCATATCTCGCGGCCTGTGGCGATCGGCGGTGCTGGCCATCACCCGTAGCCCTTTGTCCTCGCAAGCCGGTTGCTGGGCCGAGATCAAGGTCCGCCAGCTCTTTGATGCTGCTGATCCAGAGGATGCTGATTGGTGCCATCTCGTCCGTCTCGCCCAGGAGGCAGGTGCCTGCGCAGCTGTCTCCGCCTACACTACCGTTGGCACGGTGTATTGGCGAGGGCACATCAAGATGGGCCCTGCCTCACTTGCGGCATGCTACGGGCTTGCTGATCTGGCGGTAGCCCTTGTTGACAGTGCCGATGGACGCGATCGAACGTACGCTCTCAACGCCGCCGCCTCTAACGGCCTCACCGATCTGGCCCGGTATCTTCTGGACGATCCTCAGCTCCGGCCTATGCCAAGCTACCACGGTCCGCTCGAGGCTGCTGCTGCTAATGGTCACGTCGATGTTGTTGCCATGCTCCTCGCCGATGGGCGCATCAAACCCGGCGCATCTGACTGCAACATCATGAACTGCGCCGCTCTCAACGGCCATCGAGACGTTATCGAGTTCCTCCTTAACGATGCCCGGATGAATCCCTTGGACAACAACATGGCCTTTGAGACTGCGTGCAAAAAGGGCCATGCCGACGTCGCTGCGCTCCTCCTCGCTCATCCCAGCGTCGATCCTGCCGCGAACCACTACAGCGGGCTGCTCCAGTCAGCGTCGTTGGGCCACGCTGATGTTGTTGCGCTTCTTCTTGCCAATCCTCGCGTTCATCCTGCCGTCTTTGACAACGCTGCCATTCGCTTTGCCTCCGAGTACGGCCGAACGGAGGTCGTCCGTGTTCTGCTTGCAGATCCGCGTGTTGACATCAGTGCCGACAACAATTACGCCATCCGCATGGCTGCGCAGAACAACCACACCGAGGTTGTGAGCCTCCTTCGTGATGCGGGTTGTCCATTGCCGTAGCCCCATTTTCTCGCCGTGCAGCCGTTACGACTACCTTTACGTGTGGGCCCGCCTCCGATTTGGGACAGACAACATAGCCCTCCCTGCGCACACAGCTGTGACGGCTTTCCCAGAGAGCTCTGTGACTATGCCGTGCGATGAGATCGATATATCATGCCACCGCTACCCTCTCCCATGGTCTCTCCCTGAGACACACCAACACCAACGCTGCCGACAGATGACTGGCGCGCCAGGCTGCCTTCCCACTCCAGCTCGCTATCGGGGCTTGCGTCCCTTTGGCCATCGTCATCGCTACGCTCCTTTATAGTCTTTGCCCGTGATAGCTGCAGCCACCGCCGACCTAAAGCCAGTCACCATCCAATCATCCCACCTTGTGCTCGCGGCATCGCCCCCCCCCACCCCCCTCGACAGGCAACCCCCCCCCCCCCCCCCCCACTCCTCCCAGTGTTCCCCACTCATTCCGTGGCTCGGCAACACCGCTCTCGCCTCTCCTCCCCCCTCCCCTCCTCCCCTCTCCCGCGTGGTCTCCAGACCGGTAGCTCGAGTATGGAGCTGCACACACATCGGGCGCGGGGTGCGGTGGCTGTGGCGGCTGCGGCTGTGTCGCTTGTGATGGTGTATGTGTGGTTCAAGGAACCATGGCCGGAGGGGATGGACGGCAGCAAGCGCAGCATTTTGGGAGCATGGATGGCCATGGCCTACCGTCGTAACTACCATGCATCTCCACCGACCCCACCGCCAGAAGCCATTGACCCTGGTGTCATTCATTCTGATTCGGTGGCCCTTAATCGTTACCATCGTGCTCTGGATTGGGCAACAGACGCCTTGGCTCGCCCGCTCAAGGTCAGCATCTCGGCCGATGATGGCGAGATGACGGCCATGGCCACGACGGCGACCACGATTCCCATGACCTATTATGGTGATGGTATGAAGGGTCCTCGTGGACCTGCCTCGGCTTTGTTACACACAACGAGCTCGGTTTGGCGGCCACGCCGTGATTGGTGGGGTGTCAGCCACGCCCCGCTCTCCTTCTCCATCTTCATCCAGGAAAGCGTCTTTGTCAGACCGGACAATCTGCCCACCTTTGCCGTCGTTGGCAATCTAGTGGTGGTCGAGACGAAAGACGATGATCTGGTAATCCCGTTCCTGCATCTGGCCGAGTCGGACGGTGTGTGCGGTACGACGCCAAATGAGGTCGCCCTGCTGCTCTTCACCCGCGTCCTGCCGGCCGTCGCCTCGGCGCTCCTCCCGACTCACCACACCGAATTGAGCTGGACGGCGTGGCGCGGATAGTGCTGGCCCTCCCAGACTGCATCGTTGACCATGCCGACCGCGAGCTTGCGGCGAGAAGCGTGCTGGACAGTTTTGCCACGCCTGTGCTGCGCGCCATGGTCGGCCTCCCGCTGCACGTGGTGTGGCTTGCTCCGCAGGAGGCGCTGGCGGCCCATCGCGTCGTCTTTGTGCAGGACATGGCGCTGGAGTTTTGCTCGCGGGCGCAGCTCCATCGCTGGCTGAATGCGGTGCGAGCCGTGTCCGGACTGGCCAGTGACGATGTGTGGGCACCAGCACCGTGCGTGGCAGTAGTTGTCAAGCCGGAGATCCAGCTTGAGGAAGATGCGTTGGATGCCATCGTTGAACTGGTGCCTGATGTCTGCGAGGTGGTGACGCTGGAGGCCGAGACTGAGATGGACGTTGCCTTGGAGGCGCTTGCGCAGGCGCGTGTTTTGGTTGTCTCGTCGGAAGTGCAGTCCGGGATCCGGCCGCTGTGGTCCATGCTTGCTCCGTTCTTGATGGTGCCGAAGCGGGTTGTCTTGTTGGACATCCTTTTGACCAGATGGGAGGGCGGGGTGCCAGGCTCAATGGCCGCTGCAATGTCGATCGACATCCCCCCGTACTCTGCGATGTGGCGGGCGTCGTTGGGTATGGACTTTGCCTATGTGCCGTACTTTGCGTTCTCGGGTCACCCTGTTGTGCGCGATCAGTATGTCCGCGACTGCCTTTTGTATGCCCGCGAACCCTTCTACGGACGTGTCGAGGACTTTATCCTCTCCCTCGATCTGGCAGAGCACTATCCGCTGGTATCGCCTCTGCGCAAGCTCGATCCATCCCGTGAGGGCCGTCCGCGGACTGTGGCTGAGCAGGCAGAGTTGGGCAAGGACTTGTTTGTTATTGGTGGTGCGTACGATGACTGGATCCACCAGGAGTCAACGTACGTGGTCAAGGTCGCTGGTGGGCGACTGGAGGGCCGTGGCTATATTGTAGACGGCTCGAAAGTTATCTTGCCTTTCCCAGACAAGGGCGTCGGTGACGAAACGTTGTTCGTCCTGCGCGAGCACTTGGAGCACGGGGCCGGCCCGATGTTCCCACCGTGCGCCATCTTCCCTGTCGATGCGCCAGTGTTCTCTCTCCTGCAGGTCTGGGACTCGGTGTACTACCACATTGTGCTCGAGACGTTGCAGCGACTGGTGTTCTCGCTCGACTTTCTACGGCAGCATCCCAATGTGCTTATTGCACTGCGGTCGCCCAAGAAGGCACCCGCGCCGCAGTATGTTATCGACCTGCTGACGCGCCTCGAATTGATCGATCGTGTGCTTTGGGTGGCGGAAGAGGAGTGTCTGCTGCCTACTGGCAAGCATGGTATGTATGTACCTGCGGCGTCGCTGATGGCGACCTTTACCCCTGCTGCCGCCGAGCTCTATCACGCGATCTTTGTCTCGCCGGCTGTTCAGGCCCGGCCGCCAACACCACAAGATGCGGTTGTGTACACGCAGCGGACCAAGACGCGCCAGGTGTCGAACAATGATGCTGTGGTTGAGCTGCTGCTGGAGCTCTTTGGCGACCGGGTGGTGGTCTTTTCGGATGATGCGCTGCCCCCGATCTTGGAGACGGCCAACGTGTTTGGCTCTGCGGGCTTGGTAGTGGGCCCCGCTGGCAGCGGGCACGCAAACCTGGTCTTCTGCTCGCGGAGACAGGCGTTGGCGCTGGTAGAGTTGGAGCCCGACAGGTCGTGCGCTTGCCACTACAAAACGGCCCACGCCGTGGGCGGGCGGTTCTACTTTACAGCCGATACCACGTCGTCTGCCTGGATGGCGCCGTTTGAGGCCGATCTCGACATTTTGCCAGGTGTCGAACAATGATGCTGTGGTTGAGCTGCTGCTGGAGCTCTTTGGCGACCAGGTGGTGGTCTTTTCGGATGATGCGCTGCCCCCAATCTTGGAGACGGCCAACGTGTTTGGCTCTGCGGGCTTGGTAGTGGGCCCCGCTGGCAGCGGGCACGCAAACCTGGTCTTCTGCTCGCGGAGACAGGCGTTGGCGCTGGTAGAGTTGGAGCCCGACAGGTCGTGCGCTTGCCACTACAAAACGGCCCACGCCGTGGGCGGGCGGTTCTACTTTACAGCCGATACCACGTCGTCTGCCTGGATGGCGCCGTTTGAGGCCGATCTCGACATTTTGCGCGCGCTCCTGCTGGAGGCTGATCGCCAACGGCGGCTGGACCTGGAGGCTATTGCTCAGGGTCTACCGTTGCCCGACGTGTCCGACATTGTGCCGTGGCCCAATGCTGCTGCCAGGGATCGATGGCTCGAGTTGCATGCAAGCGACGAGTAGACGGAGCAGGAAAGAAACGTGATTGTCGCGACGGCCGCCGATGGTCGACCATGCGTTGACAAGGATGCAAGCGACGATGCAAGCGACGAGTAGACGGAACAAGAAAAGGAACTTACTTCCCGCGATCACGCGCGCCTGCCGAGCAGCAACTACGTGTGCTTGCCAGCAGGTCGTCTAATTGGCAGTGCTGCGCTTCGCACTGCCAGGCAGCGAGCTAGTGCCGGATCAAGGACTGGCAACCAACGTCTTTGTCCACGATGTTCTCTCACCCTTGCCATGCCGGCATCGGCACCGATACGGCTGTAAAACCCCGGTGTAGAGGAGTGTGTGTGTGGGGGGGGGGGGAGGGTACAAAAATTGTTCTCCTTAGGTCGTCATTCCTCTGCTGCCGGGAAACATATCAGAAATCGTTGCAAACTTGGGCCGACCTGCAACGCGTGGCTGTTGACTCGGTGGAGAAAGAGACAACCGTGCAGTCGAACAACTGGCAACGCACACTCGTCGTCGACGCCGAGAGGGCTATTCCTCAATATGGCCGGAACCAGCGGAATGAGCACGGGAAGAAGCAGCGCCATGAAAAAGACGAGGACGGGCAATGGGGGGAAGAAACCACGCGGTTTGTCCAAGAAGAAGGCGTATGCCTTTGGTGCCGGTTGCGGCTGCCTCACCACAACGATTATTGTTGCGGCCGTGCTTTTCGTCATTTTTCTTCTCGATGATGTTCGGGAAGATCTTGGCCTCGTTCGACAGAACACGTACATTGCAGCGACTGCTGAGCGTGCGTCTTCGGTGGCGGGACATGTGGCCGTGGTGAGGGAGACTGCTGATGCTATGTATCTCGCCTTGGCCGCGGCTTATCGTGATGGGGACATTGCAAGCCCGGACGATGTGGCAGGGCTGACCAACACCCTCCGCCCGCTCCTCACCTCGCACCCGTTCATCGCCTCGATCTCGGCCGCGCACTCAACAAGGAGCACGTTCAGATTCCATCGCGAGCACGTTCCCTTTCTCATCACTCAGTTCCGGGTCTATGTCAACGACAGCTACCAGACCCAGATCGAGCGGGTGGCTCCGCCTGGAGTGCCCATCACCCACGCCAACTGGTCCGAACCAGTCCCGCTCGCCTTTGACCCATGGGCCACCGAATGGTGGGCTCGTGGCAGCGATCCGAGTCTTGTCAACGTCACCGATGGAAATCCCATTGCGTGGAAGGCGCCGCTTGTTCCCGAGCTCGGCGATGCGACTGACCCGTCGGCCCTGCTCATCCCCTACATGGAGGCCTCGTTCCGGCTCAACTTTCGCGACTCGGACCACTTTTCGGTCTTCCGCATCCAGCTTGGCGTCAATGACATGTCATCGCTGCTCGACATTGTGCCGGCGAGCGACATCGTCATCGTGGCGGCCGACGGCTCGCTCATCGCCGGCCAGTCGGACGTCCAGCTCATCGAGTACATCGACTCGGAGAACCCAAGTCTTGGCGCACGGAATCGCCGCGTATGGGAGGTGCCTGGCCTCGATGTGGTGACCGAAGAGTATTTGCAGAGCGCCGGCGGGCCGTTTGCCGGCGGCTACTTGTACGTGTCTTCGGCAACAGCGCGGGGTGACCTGCCGTGGCGCTCGGTCATCCGCACCTTTGCCGCCGATGTTGCCGGCGTGGAGGATATTGCGCGGATGGAGGACTCGGTCTTTCGGCTCCAAGTCTGGATCATCACCGTGGCCTCGGCCGTCGTCGCCCTCATTGTGCTCTCGATCCTCACTGTGTACGCCGTCTCGCGGGCACGGGTCTTTGCGATCCGCACCGACACCCAGTACTCGTTTGAGATGAGTGATGTGGTCATGGGTCAGCTCCTTGGTGTGGGCGGCTTTGGTGAGGTGTACCACGGCACGCTCAATGATGGCCGAGCAGTGGCGGTCAAGATCCTCAAGACGCCTGCCGTCACCAAGCAGGAGATGCGGGCCTTTGTCTCGGAGGCAACTGCCATGGCTCAGCTCCGCCACCCAGACATTGTCGACTTTGTCGGCATCATCGCCACCCCGCCGGACTTTGCCATTCTCTCGGACTTTATGCCGCGCGGCTCACTCTTTGCCGCCCTCCATCGGCCGTACACTCTCTACGACATGACGCTGCAGATCGCCTGGCTCCGCGGCATTGTCTCGGGCCTCCGCTTCCTCCACGCCCGTAACATCCTCCACCGCGACCTCAAGTCGCTCAACATCCTCCTCACCGTCGCGTACATGCCCAAGATCTCCGATTTTGGCACCGCAACTCTTGCCGAGTCGGTCTCAGCTACCGGCAACGAGATGGATGCGGTGACGTCGTTGGAGGCTGGACAGGGCGATCTCGGCTCGATCTTCTGGTCGGCGCCCGAAATCCTCTCGCCGACGCCGATCCACTCGGAAGCGTCCGACATCTACGCCCTGGGCATTCTCCTCTGGGAGATCGTCTCTAACGGCGCCGACCTGTATCCGGACATTGCCGCCTCGTCAGTCGCCCATCTCGTGGTCCATGAGAATCTCCGACCGCCGACTTCGATCCTCCCGCCGCGCTTCATCGAGCTGTACTCAGCGTGTGTGGACACCGAGACGCAGCGCCGTCCCACGCTGGCCTACATCGCTGGTGTCCTAGACGACGTCGTTCCGCCCAACACCACACCCGTTCTGCCGTCGGATTGTGTGCCGTTCCCTACTGGCCCGCTCGCGGTCCTTGGCCTCACCATCCCGGATCTAGCACACGTTCTCTCAACCTCGACTGTGGCAAACGGCGAGGCCTATGTTGCCGCCATCTGCACCCTTCATGAGAAGATGGAGGCTATTGCTGCAAAGTTCTCGGGCGTGGTGGCCCAGTCGACGCTCCGCACCTTTATCGCGGTCTTCCCCTCGCCACAGGCTGCCATCCTCGCTGCCGCCGACGCGATCAGGAGCTTTACGCCTCTCGCTAGCGACGCGGCCACTGCGTACAACACCGGCCTAGCCATCGACGACACGTCCAAATTTGGCTTTTCGTCGACATCGGTAACCGAGACAAGGTCGTCCCTTGAGCCTGCAGTCTCATCCAAAGCCTCGGCCCCGGCTTCGGCTTCAGCCTCGGCCCCAGTCAAGCGGAACCAGGTGGCGCCTGCCACGGCTACACCTGCAATCGCGCCTGCGGTTGCGCCTACGCCTGCGCCTGCGCCTGCGACCAAGGCCACGGCCGAGAGCAAGCCGACGCCGACGCCGACGCCGACAAGGGCTCGCTGTCTTCTCCGTCTGCGTCGTTGTCGTCGTCTTCTTCTTCCTCGCCTTCGTCGTCATCGTCGTCGTCACTCCAGTCGTCGTCATCGGAAGAGGAAGAAGAGGAACAGACCGAGGCGAGGCTGGCAGCCGACGTGCTGGGAGTCACGTTTGGCATCGGTGTGTCATACGCGCACGGCTCGACAGCACGCAACAAGTCGACGTACGGCGTGATTGTGTCTGGACTTGCCAAGGACCAGGCGATGTCGCTGGCGCGGCGCGGGCGGCCCGGGGTAGCCATCGTTGCCGAGTCGGCGGTGGCGGTGGCGGCAATCGACTATAAGGCCGAAGGCCTGGAGGTCGGTCCAGCGTGCTCTGCTGTCGACGGCGTGCCTGCGGTGACGATGGGACAGAGCGGAGCAGGCGTGGTGGCGACGCACTCGCGCGAGGACGCGCAAGTTGCGGCTGCTGCGCGCGCGGACGGCGATAGCAACACGCCGTGGCTCCTCTTTGCGGTTCCACCACACATCAGCCTCACGGACCGAGTGGGCATCGGGTCGGCAACCGAGGTCTTTGCTGCTATGTTCCGCAACAAGGACTGCGTGATCAAGAAGGCGCTGCCGCGGTACATTCCGCTGCGTGTCCAGGGCTACCTGGCGCACCTCGCAGCGCGGTGCCAGAGCCTGAACTCACCCAATGTGGCGCCGCTGCTCGGCGCTGTGGTTGCGCCGGACAACACCTCGCTCCTTGTCCCGTGGTACAATAAGTGCCTTGCCGACCTGTTCGATAACGGGGCGGTGGAGCCGACCTACGTGACGCCCAAGTCGATCGGGCTCGACGTCGTCGCTGGCCTCCAAGCGCTCGCTGCTGCCGACATGGTTCATGGCAAGATCTCGCTGGCGAACGTTGTGCTGACCGAGGCAGGAACGGCCGTGGTGACCGACTATGCGCTCATGCCGCTGCTCACCTCAGCGCAGACAATGACCGGCGCCTCACATGTGTACTACATGGCACCGGAGCTGCTCCGCGGCGAAGCGCCGACAACTCACTCGGACGTCTACGCCCTCGGCATTGTCCTCTACCAGCTCATCACGGGACGGATCGATCCGTACGAGGGCACATCGGCCATGGCTGTCGTCTTTAAGGTAATCCAGGGCGACCTCACGCCGGACCTCAAGAACGTTGCGCCCGATTGGGCCGCCCTCCTCTCCTCGACCTGGGCTCATGTCCCAGGCCGCCGTCCCTCGCTCACCCAGCTTTCCATGGATCTTGCCGCGCTGCCGCAGTAAACCCGCATCCTGTCCATCCCTGGCTCTTGCCACACCCGCCTCTGCCCACACCCCATAGCGATAGTTGCGTGTATGGGTGGAGGGAAGGATGAGCAATGCTGCCATTGGGGTTATTGTTGGGGATTATCGATGGGATTATCGATGGGATTATCGATGGGATTATCGATGGGATTATCGATGGGATTATCGATGGGATTATCGATGGAATTATCGATGGAATTATCGATGGAATTATCGATGGGATTATCGATGGGATTATCGTTGTCGTTTGTGCGTCCGTTGGTCGCCAAATCGACCGTTTGCCCGCCCGTCGCCTGGCGGGCGGCGGCGAAGCGGGGACGGACGGCAGCGGGAGGAGCACACCCGTCTGCCATGGCCGAGTCTGTGTACCTTCAAGGAACGGTGGGTGAGGCCCTTGCCGAGGCGCTCACCGAGGTGGCAGTCAAGCAGCCGAACGACCCCATCGAGTACCTTGCCCACTGGCTCATCAAGCACACAGACAACCTCAAGGCCCGCGAAAAGGTACGCCACTCCCGCAGCAGCAGCACCAGCAGCAGCAGCAGCAGCAGCACCAGCAGCAGTTGCAGGGTGTGTGTGTGTGGGGGGGGGAGGGGATGGTGTGGCCCTGGTCGGTGGACGGGGGTATGGACGGTGGACGGGGGTATGGACGGTGGACGGGGGTGTGGGCATGCCCTGGTCGGTGGACGGGGGTTGGGCATGCCCTGGTCGGTGGACGGGGGTATGGGCATGCCCTGGTCGGTGGACGGGGGTATGGGCATGCCCTGGTCGGTGGACGGGGGTATGGGCATGCCCTGGTCGGTGGACAGGGGTATGGGCATGCCCTGGTCGGTGGACGGGGGGGTGGGGGGTGGGCATGCCCTGGTCGGTGGACGGGGGTGTGGGCATGCCCTGGTCGGTGGACGGGGGGGGGGGGGTGGGCATGCCCTGGTCGAGGAGGGCACCATGGACGGGCAAAGCACTCACACACAACACAACACAACTTGACAGAGCTACCAAGAGCGGGCACTGCTCGAGCGCGAGCGGCTGGAGAAGGAGCACGAGGAGGAGCAGGCCCGGATGATGCGGGAAGAGGAGGTGCGCGTGCTGAAGCGCCAGGCCATGGAGCGGGCAAAGCGCCTGGAGGAGGCCCGCAAGACCCTGCATGTCCAGCGCCTGGACCTGTACCAGGAGAAGAAGGCCGAGCTGGAGGAGGACTTGACCACCCGGACGCGCAAGGTCTTTGTCGCCGGCCAGGACTCGATGGAGGACGACCACCTTGAGGAGCTCCCGCTGACAACCATCGAGAAGGACGTCGCTCTCCTCGACTTTGTCGCAAACGCACTCAAGGCCATCGCGGGCATCTCGGACTACGTCCCGCCCAAGGACGAGTCCGCCGACGCCGCTGCAGACGGCCAGTTCCCGCTCGCCGCTGCCGCCTCGGACGATGATGACGCCGATGACGATGACGACGCCGGCGACGCCGATGCTGACGCCGATGCTGATGCCGATGCCGATGCCACGCCGCAGGATGATGATGCCGACGCGCCGCCCACAGGCGATCACACTGGCGAGTCCGACTACGACGACGACGAGCCGCGCGCAGAGACCGAGGCCTCGTCCGTCGGCCCGCCGCCGTTTGAGGACCGGCTTCCCAACGTGCTCTCGGACGAGGGCAAGACCGGGCTCGAGCTCCTCCGCCACCAGGTTCTCACCGAGTGGACGCCCGAGACCAACCCGACGCTCTTCAAGGTCATCCGCGGCGTCATGTTCATGCTTGGCTTCTCCAAGGCCTCCACCGAGGACAACGACAAGATCGCCGAGCTCCTCAACCGCGAGAGCCCCTCGGTCGTCGACCTCATGCTCCGCGTCAAGTTTGCCGATCTGCCCAAGCCATCCAAGTTCAAGCGCGTCGCCCGCGCCACCCGCGGCCTCGACGTCCGCAACCTCGTCTCCACCTCGCCACTCGGCTCGTACCCGGCCTACGTCATGCTCGAGTGGCTCCGTGCGGGCGTCACCCTCCGAAACGACGTCGTCAACGAGCGCCTCGACGCAGGCGATCCGCTCGATGCCGTCGAGGACCAGGCCTTCCGCGTTGGCGAGGCCGGCGAGCCCGACGACGAGCCCGAAGCATCCGACTACGACTCGGACTCGGACTGGCTCACTCTCTTTGACGACCATGAGGGCAACGAGTCCGGCACTTCGTACGATGACGGCGCTGGCGGCGACGCCTCGGAGCGCTACTCGGTCTCGGGCTCGTACTACGGCGAGTCGGACTACGAGTACTGAGCGCGTAAACGCTCCCTCCCCTTTTCCCTCTCTTTACCATCTCTGTTACCGCCTCTGCCCTCACTCGGCCTTGCCCACAAGCCCGAGGTCGTACACCCAGCCAACAGCCACGAGATCCTGCTCGGCATTGGGCTTGGGCGTCGACGGCGGTACCAGCGCCCGTGTAAACCGCGACGGCGTCGCCGGAAGCGGCGGCAGCGACACAAGCTGCCCGGAACCGGAGCCTGAGCCGCTCGCGTGCTGTGGTCGCGCCACCACCAGCGGGCGCGCCACCTTACGCGGTCGCGGATTGCGGTCGTCATCACCGCTGCTACCGGTTCCGCTGCTCCCCGTCCGGCTCTTGCGCTTACTCCGCCGCATCGCAGTCTCGGCCTCGTCGTCGCCGTCGTCGTTGTCCAAAAAGCCGCCACTGCGGCCATCGTCCGAGTAAACCGCCGGCGACGACGAGAACGAGGCTCGGGCGGCAGCGGCAACCCGCGGCTGGCTCGCATCGAGCGACTGGCTCCACACCCGCACCCACGAGAGGTGCATAGCCAGGGTGGCGTGGTGGGCGCGGACGTGCGAGCGGAGCGAAGACCGGAACGCACATGTGTACGAGCACCCGATCCACTGGCAGCCGTAGTCGTGGAGCGGGGCATGGAATGAGCCGTGGAGCTCGAGCAGCGACTTGAAGTCAGTCGAGTACCCGCACTTGGGCCAGGTGCAGCCGTACCGCTTCGCGTGCGTTGGCAGTTCCCAGTCGGCCCGTCGCCGCACCTGAAGCTCGCGGCTGAGCGCAATGGCGTCGTCGACAGCGTCGTCTGCCGCCGAGTCGGCGTCGTCCGCCGCTGCGTCGAGCCAAAACCGCCGCGCGTACGAGTAGTAGAGCGAGGCCGGAATGCCTACGCCTGGCTGGTGTGCCCGGAGCACGTGGTTCCACAGCTCGCGCGACGACGGAAAAGCCAGGTCGGCGCACCCGGGCAGGACGCACTTGCGCCAGCCGTCGCGCGGCAGCGTGGCTGGCGACGCCACCAGCCGCGCCGCTGCCTGTCGTCTCGCCTGCGTGCGCATCTCCTTGGCGGCCTTGGCCCGCGATGCCCGGATGGCCGCCCGCGCCTTGGCCCGCGCCCGCGAGCGAGCCGACTTGGACTTGGACGCCGCCGAGCCGAGCGACGCGCTCTCCAGCTCGGTCGCTACGGCAACCTCCTCGTACTGCTTTCGCACCTCGGCTGCTCTAGCCAGCAGCCGGCGCAGGAGCACCGAGTTCCCGTTGACTGCGCCCTTGCGCTTGCTCCGGTGCCGCTCGTTGGTCTCCAGCTGCTGGTCCATGGACCACTCGCACTCGGTCGCCAGCCCTGTCTGTGCCAAGTCACTCGGTGGCGACGTCGAGGCCAACGACGAGGTAGCACCGGCTCCTCCCACGCCCGCCGCGCCTTCTGCGGCAGCGGGGCCACTCCCTGATCTTGCTCTGCTCGTCCCCGTAGCCGGCGGCGTTCTCCTCCTTCCGCCGGTGGCGACGCCAGCCAGTGGCGCTGTCGAGGGCAGCAGAGCCTTGCTCTCTGTCGACGACGTCGTCCGCATCGGTGTAGCTGCTGTCGACGTGCTCAGCCCAACTGGTTCGTCCCACAACCTCTGCTCGTCCCACAACCTCTGCTCGTCCCACAACCTCTGCTCGTCCGACTCGGTTGCTGTCCGACTGGTTCTCCTAGTCCGACTGGTTCTCCTTGTCCGACTGGTTCTCCTTGTCCGACTGGTTCTCCTTGTCCGACTGGTTCTCCTTGTCCGACTGGTTCTCCTTGTCCGACTGGTTCTCCTTGTCCGACTGGTTCTCCTTGTCCGACTGCCTGCTCGCCCGACTGCCTCTGCTCGCCCTACTGCCTCTGCTCGTCCGACTGCCTCTGCTCGCCCGACTACCTCTGCTCGCCGACTGCCTCTGCTCGCCCGACTGCCTCTGCTCGCCGATGCCTCGTGGA